TTCTTGGGCTGAATCTGTCCGTCTGTCCATCGGTCTGCCTGTCTGCTTATCTATCAATATAAGGCAGGATATCTCTTCTGTCACTTCATAGAACTTTAGGCAGGAGATAGAGTAAATTTGTTTTCCCAATCCATTATCTTGATAAATTTCTCCCATAGATTCTTTCTGAGCTATAACTATACAGTATTTATAAATTTGTTTCTTTTTTCTCCTTAACATTATAACATAATCTCTTTTCCATCTTATTACATAGCAATAGAACTGGTGTATGTATGATATTCTACTCTGTGGTTGTACTGTAGTTACCATAATAATTTCCCTATTGGTGGCTATTTCCAAAATTTTGTTATTTTAAATAATGCCGTTTCCGTCATCTGAGCATAAAGACTCTGGGCCTAGATGGTTTTGCTCTTGATTCTTTATAATTTTAGTGCTCTACGTCAGTTATTCCTGAGTATAGAAATGAGTAGATAGATAACTGTGCAGCTGAGCTGTGACCCAAACTTAACAGTGATACCATCCAATAACAATAGAACAAAAAGCCAAAACTTTAGAGCAGCCTTACTTATGAATATAGATGTGAAAATTCTAAGTAATATACTCTCAGTAAATACTCACAAGTAGAATTCCCTAAAAGACCGTAATGGATAACAGCGAAATAAGGTCTATTCCAAGAATGAAAGAATGGCTCTCTCTATATACATATTTATAATATATATATTTAAAAACAAAACACACTTCCATTTAGTGCCAGGAATTTAAGCAGAGACCTGAAGTGGAACCAACTGACTCACACAGTAGTAAATACAAAATAGGGCAACAATATTGGTTTCAGCTGTCTGGTTCGTTGGTCTGCTGGAATGTCATACACAAGCTAAGTCACACTGCAAATGATTGTTTTCTGTCTGTGGCCACTGGCTGCCACTTCTAGCATAATAGGACCATGTTAGGGGGAGTGGAAAAAGTGAGCACCTCTTCTTACCATGTTCTCCCTGCTTCTGCCAGTCTCTTCTCTGTCCCCAAGTTGGATGCAGCAGAGATCACCCACCATTTACCCCAGGACAGACCGACGGGAGGGGGCCGATCACTGTGTTTTCTAACTATAGCCAGACTCACCTCCATAGCAGTACCTGTGGCTCTCGCCTGGACTCCTGTATAGGAATCCGGCTCTGGCAGTGGCACCTGGAGAGAATAGTAGGGCCTCCTGCTGAATGGAGGAAGTTGGGCAAATGAATGGGTGAGTTGCCAAAGTCACTTGTGAAGGGACCAGGAGTGATAAGGAAACAACAATACATTCAGTCAGCTGCTTTTGACTTCTAACTCCCAAACCTGCCTGCTACATGGGGGAAGCC